CTAAGGCACTTAACTGCTAACCAGAAGGCTGGCGGTTCAAACCCACCAGCCATTCCTCGGAAGGAAGGTTGGGCAATCCTACTTCCCTAGTGATACTGCCTCAGAAACCCAAGGAGGGGTGGCTATGAGTCGGGGCCGACTCCCGACTGCACAGCAAATAACAACAACAACAACAACAGCAGCAGCAAATATTAGCAACAAAAATAAAATACCTCAGATAAGTGTATTGAAAGATACGTAAAACTTGTATACAGAAAATTTCAAATCACTAGTAATGGAGGAATATACCAAGAACAAACACATCTTGAAGAATAAAGTTAGAAGACCTTTCATTATCAGTTATCAGATCCTATTACCAAAACAAAAACAAACTCACTGCTGTGGAGCTGATCCAACTCACAGTGACCCCTCCTTGGGCTTCCCAGGCGGTATCATTATGGAAGCAGATTGCCCAACCTTCCTTCTGAGGAGACTCTATTACAAGTTTAATGAATAAGACAATGTGGAATGGGCTAAAGATGGATAATGCTCAGTGGAACATAATATATTTCAAAAACAACCCCACATACTGTTAGCTGATTTACAATTAAGATGCCACGGCTATAGGAAAATTACAATCTCGGTAAATAGGACTAAGCCAACTGGATAACCTTATGTGAACAAGAACGCATCTTGTCTCTTACTGCATGCCATATACAAAAATCAAACCCTGGTAGACTGTAGACCTCAACAGAAGGTTTTCAATAAAACTGTGATAATAAAACTTGTAGAAGATAACAGAAAAATATCTTAATGATGTAGGAGTAGATAAAGATGTCTTTCATACAATGTAAAGCAGGAATCACAAAGGAGAGGACTGGTGAACTGAACTACATTAACAATAAGATCACCTTCTTTATCAAAAAATGCCACATATCCAAAGGAATTTAATCTAAAATAAGAATTTCCTATAGTGCCTAAGACACCTGACTGCTAACTAGAAAGCTGGCGGTTCAAACCCACCAACCACTCCTTGGAAGGAAGGTTAGGCAATCTACTTCCATAGTGATACCACTCGGAAAGAGGGGTTGCTATGAGTCGGATCCGACTCGATGGCACATAACAACAATAACATAGAAAGAAAATAGCAAACAATCCAAAAGAGAAATGGGCAAAACACTAGAACAGATACTTTAAAGAAGAAGATATGCAATTGGCTGAAAAACAAATGTAAAGGTGCTCAGTTTTATTAGTCATCAGGAAAAATGCAGATAAAATCACAATGAGATTCACTATATAGCCATCAAAATGGCTAAATGACAAAGAAAGAAACTGCTAAGTGGTGGGAGAGGATGTGTACAGAGCTCTCTATTTACTATGGATGGAGAGAGTCAATCAGAAAGTTATTTGGCAGTGTTTACTAAAGCTGAGCATGAGCATACTCTGTAACTTAGTAATTCTACACCCAGGCATATACCAACACAATGTATAAATACGTGAATCACATGACATATACAAGAATGGCCACAGCAACTTTATTCATAATAGTACAAAACTGAAAACAATCCTACTGTCCATCACCGGTAGAAAGGGTAAAGAAATTAGAGGATATTTCTACCAAGGACTAATCTTTACAAAAGTAAAAAATGAACAAATTACTGCTACTTAGAAAAATATGAATGAACTTCACAATATTATGAGCAAAAGAAAGGAAGACCTGAAATGCAAAAAGGAGTGTCAAGCAGTAAAATTTGTAAGCATATAACCCATTACCTTTGAGTCATCCCCACTCAGAGTGGCCCCACAGGACAGAGTAGAACTGCCCCACAGGGTTTCCTAGACCGTTACATTTACAGAAGAGATTGCTAGGTCTTTTCTCTCACGGATCTACTGGGTGATTTTGAAGTGCCAATCTTTTGCTTAGCAGTCAAGTGTTTAACCATGACATCATTAGTAAACAACCAACCAAAAAATCCCCAAAACTTTAATGCATCCCTGGAAGAACTATGACTCTGAAAGACACAGGGTGGGTGGTCCCCACTGAACTCCTATTTAACCGTCCTTTATGATAGATGCATAAGATAGATGGGTCTTGAACAATGGCAATATAATAATCAGTACTACCTCTAAACTGCAGAGCTGGTACAAATGTGGTCATTCTACTAGGGCAAACAACACAGCTTTTGGCACCGGGGATACAGATACTCGGCTGACAGATGTGCTTTTCTCTACATCAATGGACAGAGAACACGAGAAGCAATTTTCTTTCACCTAGCAGCATCAGCAATACAGCTTCAGTCTTGTTTTGGATTTTGTCATCTCTCTGGCTCTGTGCCATAACTTATTTGCAGAGGTTGCAGTTGTATCAACCTACCACAGGACATAAAGCCTGAGTCATCTTGATGGTACCCTGCTGATAAGATCTGGTAAATAAGAAGTAGTAGATATCCTTTATATCTTGGTAAGGAACATGCATGCCACAGATTGAGAGATAAATCACACACGTTCAGGTGAGTTTGAGGATCAAGTGCTATGGAATTCCATCCAAAGAAAAAAACCAGTTGACACCCCTAGCACATTGTATCACTAATCAATAGGCACAAAACTTGTTTAGACTCAGGACTTTAGAGGCAACAGCTGCTCAATTTGAGTATGCTACTTTAAACCCATTTCTTAAGTAATTCACAAGGCTGACAGCTTTTAGTAGGTTCATAATAATAGAAGGTTCTCACATTGATCGCACCTACACTGCAAGCAGCTAAGCCACCTGTTCTTTATCGTCTAAGAGATCCAATGGTGCTATAAGTGCCTCCTGAGCTCTGGTGGCGTAGTGGATCAGACTGGCTGCTAACCAGAAGGTCAGTGGTTCATAATTCAACAGCTACTCCATGGAAGGAAGAGGGGGCAATCTACTCTAAAGATTTACAGCCTCAGAAACCCATTGGGGTCGCTACGAGTCAGAATCGACTCAATGGCAGTGAGTTTGGTTTGGTTGTGGCCAACCAGCAGACTGCAGTTAAGATTCATAGTGAAGGCCCTTAAGGTTCTGTAGCAAAGTCATGCTATATTGGAAAATAACTTCTGTTTTCAGAAACAGAGTTTCGTCTTAGTAGAAACTGAAGGCTAACCAGCGGGCATCAGGGGAATGAGGAACTGAGTGATTGGACAAGAGTTAAGTTGGTTGTACCAAGAAGGAAACAAAAGTACATACAAGATAGAGCTCAAGTAAATCCTAACAGCACTGCCAACCCTCCTGTAACCTGCTCCCATGAACTCAAAAGCAGTTTCCTATAAATGACTGACTGAAGAAGCAAACATTTACAGGTGGCTCTTTATGCTTGGCAGTTTCAGCTGCAAGTGGACTGCTATGGTATTACAGTCCAATTTAGGGGCAGCTGTGACAAATAACAGGGACAGGAAATCCTCCCAGAAAGCCAATTTTGAGTGGTATTTCTTATGGTCCACTTTGTGTCAGTAAGATGGTAAATGTCTTGCCTCTAAAGGTAAATTTTGCCTGATGTGACAGCAGTTAACGATTTACCTAGATGTTCAGATATTCTGAATGACAGAAACTGGGGAAGGTAAGTGTGTTTTGAGAATAGGTTCAGAGAGTAAGAAAGTCATGCCCCATGTGTATGCCTGTCCAAAGACTGCCACTGAAGGAGGACACAGAAGGCAGGCAGACACGGTACAGCTTCCCTCCTGGGGGGCACAGTTTGTCCTCAGTGGATTGAGCATTGATTCTAGATGTGGATTTTCTGACTACCATGCTTTTGCCAACAACACCATTTATAGATTCATTAAATGCCTTATTCACCACCTTAGTGTTCTAGTCAACACTGCTTTTGTTTAAGGGGCTTACATTATAGCAAAAGGAGTTTCTGTTTAAGGTAATGGAAAATTTGGCAATGTACCCTGATGATGGCTGCACAACATGATTGATGTAATTGGTGACACTGAATTGTAGACACGAAAAATGCTGAATTCGCAAATACTGTGTTCTCTCTATTTTTACATGATTTAAAAAAAAAAAAGGAGAGAAGTGAGGTAATGAGCTTAGGATTTAATGATTTTATACCATCATCCAATAATGGCTGGTCTCAAAGAATAGTCCAGAAGACAGTACTTTGTAAGGCTGGAAATGGTAAATTACAAGGTGCTAGAGATAAACAGAGGAGCTCTGGTAGCATAGTGGCTAAGACACTTGACTGCTAACCAGAAGGCTGGCGGTTCAAACCCACCAGCCACTCCTCGGAAGGAAGGTTGGGCAATCCTACTTCCGTAGTGATACTGCCTTGGAAACCCAAGGAGGGGTCGCTGTGAGTCGGGTCCGACTCGATGGCACATAACAACAACAACAACAAGAGATAAACAGAGATGGGAACAGAGATATGACACAGTTTCTCTCATAGCCAGACGACACAAGTCTTGAACCAAATGATGGCACTGGAAGTAACCACTGGATTAATACTCTACATAACCTGTTCAAAAAATGTTTCCTTTCTGTTCCTACAACTTTTGTTTGTTTGGAGGTGCCAGTAGGTACATGGGGAAAATACTTATGTTAAGAAATACAATAATGTTGCCAATGATTTGGAAATTGAGGCCACCTTCTGGCCATACCGAACTCTTTATGCCACAGGACAATAGTAAAAAAGGAAAATTACATATTGGTGGGGGTTACTATTTCACAGCCCAGGGAGGGAGAGGTTCTGGCACCCAGGGGTCCTTTAACCTGCCTCCTGGCAGTGCCTTGCCCAATGGAAAAAGTTAATAGAATGCTATGGTAACCACACACAGGGAAGAATAATAAGGACTCAGAATGCTGGGAAATCAATGTTTGGGTCACTTCATCAGATAACGAGCTCTCACCAACCGAGGAACATGGACTTGGTAGTGGAGGCAGACAATGCACTGTTACTTAACATTCACATTCAAATCTAATGCCACCATGGAACTGCTTGCTCGTGAGAACAAGTGGAAACTCAGGCAATCCCATGACAGGGCAACATGGCACATACCTGTTGAGCTCCCTGATGGCCCGGAGTCTGCGGATATAGCGGCGGCAACTCGGCAGAATTGAGAGGTGGTGGGCGTGCAGCGTGAGGAAGAAGCATTCTGTAGGGAATTTCGGCTCAGAAAATGGAGGCTGATCTCCATCTAGGAAAATAACATAATTTCCTAAATAGAATCTATTACCAGACTGAATTAGAGAAAAAGCATAATTCAGAATAGAAAACTACATTTGAATTTCTAAGGAGCTTAGGGATACTTTTTTTGAAAATTGTAAGCTGAAATAATGTTAAAGGAGGACTCGAGTTCCGTGAGCTCCCCTGAATCACCAGGTATTCTGCTCCATCTGTTTAAATGGTGGCAAAGATGTGCATCTACAGTGTGCTGTGATGTATCTTCTTGTTATATTCCATAGTGATATTCCATATAACCATTTCCATCTCTTAGCACAGTACAAACATCACTTTAAATGTCTAATAGTATTAGATGATGTTCATATGTAACTATTTCCCTCTGTTGGTCATTATTATAAACAGTATTGCAGGGAGCACTGATGGACAAAAATTACTTTTTGCATTTTGGCTCTCCTCACCCCTCAGCTTTGGGGATACATTTATATTCTGAAAAGTGGAATTATTGAGAATGACAGTATTATAATTTTTGTTCTAATCACCAAAATTCATTTTAGATAGATTAAACAAATTAACTGCTATTTATGTCTCCATAAACTTATATTCAATTTTGTCACACTGTTCTTTTAATAATTTATAGAAATATAATGGTAACTTGAACTTCTTTGAATTTGTATTTAATTCATAATTTCCCATGTAAGTATATTTTATTTTGTATGACATATCCTAAAATATTTTTTCCCTTAAATTCTTGGTAGAATTTAGCTTTTGCCTTGTACATTTATAGCAGTTCTACATTTTGAATAGTATGTTTTCATCAAGCATGTGACTCATATTTTTTCTCTATTCTTTCATTTTACAGTTATTTAATCTCCCTCTATAAAAAATGTTTACATATTAAAACAAATGCACACTGTCACAGATGATTATGCTCCATTTCTCCAATCATTATAAATTTCTCTCGCCTTTAGAATTAGATCAAATCCTCTTCATTGTCTCACATTGTTGTTGTTATTTGCTGTCAAATCGAACCCGACTCATAGTGACCCCTCCTTGGGTTTCAGAGGCAGTATCACTATGGAAGTAGATTGCCCAAACTTCCTTCCAAGGAGTGGCTGGTGGGTTTGAACCGCTAGCCTCCTGGTTAGCAGTCAAGTGCCTTAGGTACTATGCACTAAGAGCGCCTCCTCTCACATTTAGATTTAAAAAAAAAAAAAAAAAAAAAAAACTGTTTAATGCTTTGACTCTGCTGGGGTTTATTGGTCTATGACATGAGTCCAAGAACATACATACCAACAGCCACTTATTTAAATGACATCAAATACTGATTTTATTGTTCACCAGATATTTAGTTCTTTCATTTAAATACTTTCTTAGCTTAGATATTTTCTGTCCATCTGTCACAGTGCTGCCACTGCCAGGTAAGCATAAAATCTTTATTCTAATCCATAAATAATTGTCCAGTATTTAAAAGATAAAGCCCATATGGTTTTGATGTCTGTCATGTTTTATTACATGGAAGATCACCAATCTTAACACCTTCAAAGTATTTATATTTTTACACCAATTTATCAAAACCTATGAAATGTTTCATGGGAATTTTAATTGGTATCTATAAAATCTATATAATAACTAATTTACTGCTATTATTCTTATTGCATCTTTTTTAAAACTCAGAACGGTGTGTTTCTTTCCATTTGTTGTATGTATCTATTTATTTTGAACTAATCCACATAAGATCTTTTCTACTGTACCAACTTTTATTGTGCATCTCTGGGTCATAAATTCATTTCAAGGAGAGGTGGTAACAGTATATGAGGAATCACTAGCATGCAAGGGAAAGGGCACCGTTTCAGTGACCGACAGTGAACACAACACTCACAGAGTTCAGTCAGCCAGTCGTTCACATCCTCCATAGTTGCATTCACTCGTGTCTCATCATTTGGAAGGGTGATCCGACACCTTGGGTGGAATATGTATGTGGGATCAACCGTCTCTAATTTGATTTTTGTACTTAGCTGCTGCAGCACCCAAAGGAAATTCAGCATAAATCCATCTGTAGATACCAATCTATCATCTGTCTGTGGAATATGAAAAAAAATCATTTAAAATACTGATTTGAATACAGTAATTTCGTACAACTTTATATGAAAGGAGACTGAATGCTCAAATATGAAATTATCTTAATGACAGGATACATGCCTTGTCAGAATCGTCACCCTTACGGCAGCTATTTGTTGAGTATATGTGAAGCATTTTATACATCCTCTCACTGAACTTTCACAATAACCCTTATGTGTCACTGACTGTGCTGTTCTTAGAGTACAGTGGAGGAAAGTAAGGCTCAGAGAATTTAACTGATTTGCCCAAGAGCCTCAAAACTGTAAGTGGAAATACAATAACTGCACTTCCCTTCTTTATTTCTAAGGATCATCAGAACAACTAGTTTATCACTTGACTAAGTGTTTCTGTAGCACATAGTCATACTTTTGCATTAACAACAGAATAGAAATTATAATAATGATAGTTAACATCAATCAAGTGTTCACTATATACTAGACACTAATTTAAGAGCTTTACATAGGTACTATTACTACCCCTATTTAGCAGATGAGGAAACTGAGGCACAAAGAAGTTACCATCTAAGGTCACAATGCTAGTAAATGGTAGAACCACATTGGAAATCCAAACAGTCTGATAGCAGGTCCATACTATGAACCACTTCTCTATCCTTTTTTTCTTTTGAGTAGAAGTGTCACGTCATTCATTTATTATTTATGAATAATTTAGGAACGATGTCCTTTTTCTACTCCAGCAAAGTGATTCCTGAGTGTTGTAAATGGATAATGTACTTGGCTGCTAACTGAAAGTTTAGAGGTGTAAGTCCATCCACAGGTACCTTAGGAAAAAAGCCTGGCGAGTTTTTTGAAACATCAGCCACTGGAAATCTCATGGAGCACTCCTGCTCCAACACACACAGGGTTGCTATGAGTTAGAATCAACTCAATGGCAAATGTTTACTCCAGCAAAGTGGTTCAGGCCTAGTGCACTGAACTAGTGGGACTAGTTCACTGGGACTAGTGCATTCAAAATGTTGTAACTGGCCTCCTTGGGCCAGCTCCTGCCTCTCCCCTCCACTTTAGTCCATTCTCTACACAGCAGATCTTGTGGCTTTCTGGCTGAAAACATTCCAAGGGCTTCCCATTATAGTTAGAATAAAATAACATTCTCACAACATAATCCTAACCTGATGAAACCCCTGCCCACTCTGCTGGCCCATGATCTGCTGTTCTCTTTCCCGTAAACTCTCTTCCAGCCACAAAGACCTCTGCGTTGGGCTTCCACTAAACCTAGCTCATTCCCACCTTCAGTCCTTATGTGGGTCTAAAATCGCTTTTCTCAAAAGCAATAGTTGGCTTTTCTTATCAGTCAGGCTTCTGATCAAATATCATCTCTTCAGAGAAGCCTTCCACTTGCCACCCAATCAAAAATCACTCTCATCTTTCTTTCTGGTCCCTTTACAGATACTCCCAATTCCTTTACCTAGCTTTTTTTTTTTTTTTTTAAATAGGTTTTATTATGAAAAATTTACACGTCTATCATTTATCATCTGACATGCCCTACTAGAACACAAACTCCACAAAAGCAGGAAGCCTGCCTCATTCATCACTATATCCTCAATTTCTAGGGCAATGCCTGTAGGTAATGAATAAATATGAGTTGAATGAATGAAATTAAAGAGTAAATGCAAGTAGTCCTTCAGAATCCTACCTGCATCTGTGCTTTCTTCATATTGGCATTGACGACAGCTGCCATGTAACCGAGAGCAGCCTCACGGGTCTCACCGTTTAACAAAATACTATGCAGAATCTTGAAAAGCTCTTGCTAAAATTTGTTTAAAAAAGAAAAAGAAAAATTTTATTTTAAACATGAATCCTTTTTGACTTCAAGAACTCCTAGCTTCCTTCCCACTTTCTCTCTTCTCCCACCTCCACTCATTCCTGGAGAATCTGACAACAAGGGGAATACAAGAAGGTGCTCATATTCAACTGTGTGAAGATCATTAGCATGTAAGCATCTTACAGCAAAATATGGAGTAGGAGTAGAGGAGGCAGGCAGCTATGGTTTAATGAAATGGTCTTTGTTATTTCCTTTCCATGATCAAAATTACCTAATGACTCAATACCATAATTTCTGTTTTTACATCTTAGAACTTAAAATTTCTCTAAATTTCAGAACATTTGGGATAAACAAATCAGTGAGGGGTATGTACAAACTAACAGTGTTCACTCATGCCCACAATTTAAATGCCTAAGGACAAGATAAGGAGCTCTGGTGGTGCAGTGGTTAAAGCATTCTGCTGCTAACCAAAAGGTCAGCAGTTTGAATCCACCAGCTGCTCCATGGAAGAGAGATGACATAATCAGCTTCCGTAGGATTTACAGTCTTGGAAACCCAATGGTGTAGTTCTACTCTGTCCTATAGGGCTGCTATGAGTTGGAACTGACTCAATAGCAGTGGGTTTTTTTTTTTTTTTTATAAGGACAAGCTGGAGAAAGAATGGCAACTACACTCAAGGACCATACCCCAGTGAGATGACATACACAGGGCAGCATATCACTGGTGTTGCAGTTATTGTTCAAGACATGGGTTATTTTATATACCTTATCTTTTATTCATCTTTTGGATTCATTTTCTGAACACCTACCCTTCCCAACTCCAAGTAATGCTGTAGCGATTGGCTAACCACACGAGTGTTTTCCAGGGTAATGGCAGGCCCTGAGAAATATTTTTCAACCACTTTAGCCTGGAAAGAGAAGGAAAAAATTCTATCAACCTATATTGTACATTTGGGAAGGAATCTGTGCATAAGAACAGCACAGCGCAAATGGCCACTGTACTTACATCATCTTCCGCAAAGACAGAGAAGCTAAAAAAAGCTCCCAGATAAGACAGTCTCTGTAGCTCCCGCCCTGAGCCAGGGCTTAAGGATTTAGGCAACCACAATGGCAAAGAAGCAACCTACGCAAAAAATGAGAGAGGCAAATCAAGTTGCTACAAAGGCAAGATAGGTAAAAATTAGTCAAGAGAGTTCTCAACAGCATTCTGTTCAGATGGTTCTAAAACACCAGCACAATGGCTAACATTTCCTCGAAAATACAAGGTACACAAACACATTAAGATGCCTGCTGGTTCTCAGAGAGAGGAACAGCCAACTTTTCTTCATTGTCACACTTTTTTTTTTTTTTTTTAATGTTTCTAAATATTCTTTGATGGAGTTCAAAGAAGTATTTTTATATGACCAAAGGACTCAAAAAGAGCTCTGGTGGCATAGTAGGTAAGGCATTTGGATGCTAACCAGAGGGTGGTTCAAAAACACCAGTTGCTCCATGGGAGAAAGATGAGGCAATCTATTTCCATAAAGATTTACAGCCTTAGAAACCCAATGGGGGTCACTATGAGTTGGAACTGACTCAGTGGCAGTGGGTTTGGTTTTGGTCTTAAAGGACTTGAGTATCTTTTCTCCATAGGACTTGTTATCCTAACTGTACACAATTTATCCCCCCAAAAAATCACAAAAGAAAACATATATGATCATTCCAATAAATAGGGTATGCAGTAACAATTTAACAGACATGTTATCTGTATCTAAATGAAAATTGACAATATCCTTCAAGAGAAGTTATTTGGATAATGTTACTTAAGGAACATCTTCTGAGTGTTCCTTATGTTCACTGAAAATGTGTAAGCCCATAAGCACTTACCAAATTGCACATAGGATGTGTCTTCCCAAACTTGGTTTCACAGAGTTCACCTAATGCCTAGCAAGAAAATCAGAAAGACCTATTTAAATGTATTTCACCTTGAACTGACTGCCATGTGTAACATCAAGGAACAACTATAAATACTGCCATAAATACATATGCATTCCCTCTGAAATGATCACAGCTTCATTGCCTTTTCTGATTAATAAACTAATAAAAATGTACATGGTAAAATACATCAGAAAAATCAGAATATGAAATAAAAATCACACACAGACTTTACTCCTAGAAATAACTTCTATTGCTATTTTGGTTAACAGCTTTCTAGACATCTGTTTATGTATATACACAGAGATGCATATTTCTACCAAAAAATGCTCTTCTCGCTTGACATCTTTCCATGTCAATAAAGAAATTTGCTTCATACATTTTAGACAGCTAGTGTTCCCAGTGCTAAACACGACTATAAATAATTACAATTTATAAGCTATCAAATCCAGAACACATTTAAAACGGTAACTTGGTTTTAAACACAAGATATTTTGGTATTTTTTGGAAGTCTAGTATTTTCCTTTGGAGCCCCAATCATTCTCATCTTAGTGAATCACGAAAAATAATACTTAGAGACATAAACACAAATTAACACTCTAAGTGACCCAAGTATAACAACCAAGCACAGTATTTTAAGAGTCAACTTCTATTCTCCGTAATCTGGACAGAGGCATAGAAGTTGCTGAACCAGCTGCAGGAAGCTTTGGGTGCAAGCATTTGGGCACAGATACACATCTTTGAGGAGCTGCTGGGGCTCAGAGAATTGCTGCTGAGAAGTCAAAGTTGTCACTGCCGAGTGTAGGAGTTGCTAAACTTTGCTGCACATGAGGATCACATGGGAAGCCGTTAAAGAAAACAGTGCCGGGCCACCCCTCCATCCTCCCCAACTTTCACCCCAAGAATGAAATCTCAACGTTGTGGGAGCAGTGGGGTGGTACATGGGTGGGCAGGAAGCAGTATTATTTAAAGATCCTCTCAGGTGACTCCAATGTCTGGCAAAGCTGGGATTCACTATTTCTGATTTCAGCTCCAACCTTCTTCCTTTTCCTGTTTCTCATTATGATACCCTCTCTTGCTGCACTCTCATTATTGTATAAGCATCAATAATGGCTCAAAATAAAATTACTGTCTACCACAACAGAAACCTTTGTCTTTTGACCAAGGAGGACATTTTGTTGATATCTGACACTAAAAGCTTCTAACTCAGGCATCAAACTAATTAAAACCACAGCCAAAAAGCCAGCCATTCCTTGCAGGAATAATTATATAATATAGTGGTAATTAGTGTTCATTAAAATATTTAGTCACGAACTCAAATACTCACATTATTCTACTTCCTTTTCTCTGTCATAGACACAGATTAAGGATTAAGAGAATTTTACTAGGAGTCTGAATAACATCCATGCATAATGGCAAGAGCCCTGGTATAAATATGTTCAAAATTATTTTCAAAAGTAAGAATTCCCATTTTACTTTTCAATTTCTCAGCAGTTTTTAACTTTTAGCCTTTCTATGTTATCAGCTTTAGCAGTTTTTAAAGAGATGTTGCCTTTGGGTGCACCTCTCTTTTGGCATTTATTGCAGTGGAACCATGTCAATGTTCCAGTGGGTTTGGGTTTCTGCAGTAGATTAGGGACACCTTGTGGAGAGGGCCTTGTCTCCTTCCTTAGTCTCTGTGTCCCCAGTGCTTGGCACAGAACAGATCCTCAGTAAGTACTGAAGTAACAAATGCAGTAAAATATCAATTTAACCAAGGCCTCCATTTATACAAGGTTGTAGATACATAAAGGAAACTAATTTTGTATTTTGCTACTTCTTCTTTGATACTTCTAAGAATGAAAAGTATTCAGTAATACTTGAAGCAAATGCAGGAAAGAAAAGAGGATCTTATTTTCATTCTGGTTCCAGTGTTTTCACAATAGTCAAGTCTCACTATGAGAACTTAGCTGAAAGTTCTATCCACGATTTTTGCTTGCTCTAAGTGCCTTCAATAGCTCAGGAGATGTGTGATTTTCAAGTAAAGCCTGTAAACGAGGTATACAGCCTTGGGAAATTAGGAGGATGAACAACAGAGTTACTCTGAGATTTTCTTTAGAAAGTCACTCTATAAAAATAAAATTCTACTGCTTTCCTTATTATAATGTTGCTTTTTTATCTGCATTTATAATAGCTTTTTTTTTTTTTTACTAAAAAAAAAATTCATTCTAAATATGGTATGCTCATGACTAAGAGAACCAGAAGTATATCACCAATAATGATCTTTCTCGTAAGCTATACAGTACGGTGAAGCACATGTCAATAACCACATCACTAGCTCCTGTCTAGGACTGGGGAGGTGGGATATGTACCGGGCTGCTAACTGTCTTCACTGATGCATCTCACTGTACAGCAAACACTCTGCATGGCCAACACAAAGATTTCATGTTTTAAATTTGAAAACAAGGTGGATCATGGACCTGAAAGAAAAGTGTATGTTAAAATTATCTGCAAGAAAAACATCTATTAAATGGGTTAAAAAAAATACAAAGTTTTACCATGAGGGGGTATTTAAAGTAGTCACTATCGAGGGAGCACTCTTTGGCAGCAAGCGCCAGGCCTTGTAAAATGGGGATAAAGATCTATAAGAAAAACACAAAATCAGGTATGTAAGTGTAAGAATAAGCAACATGTCAAATAAAGTGCTGACTCTGAATGTCCAGTCATGTTCACTTCTTCCCCAGAGAAAAGGTTTTTTTGCAGATAAGAGAGTCTAGAACCCAGTCAAAGGAGCCCTGGTGGTACAGTGGTTACTCAGTTATTAACCAAAAGGTGGGTGGCTCAACCCATCCAGAGGCTCCCATGGTGATCTGCTCCTGGAAAGATTACAGCCTAGGAAATCCTATGGGGCAGTTCTACTGTATCATACTGGGTCACTATGAGTGACCATCATCTAATAACAGCAATAGAACCCAGTGACAAAGTACAGTGGAAACCTCCAGAAGTAAGAAGATTTAGGTGAATCCTAATATCCTAAGAAAACTGTTCTTAGGCAGGACTCCTGGTAACTCATAAGAAAACAGTGCCTAAGGCATTTGACTGCTAACCACAAGACTGGTGGTTCAAACCTACCAGCCACTCCTCAAAAAGAAGGTTGGGCAATCTACTTCCATAGTGATACTGGCTCGGAAACCCAAGGAGAGGTTGCTATGAGTCAGATCCAACTCGAAGGCAGTGTGTTTTTGTTTGAAGGGTCCAGCTCTCCAGTGATTTCACTTGGTGTGGCGTAGTACCTAAGGCATCTGACTGCTAACCAGAAGGCTGGTGGTTCAAACCCACCAGCCACTCCACAGAAGGAAGACTGGGAAATCTACTTCCATAAAGATTACCACTGAAATTCAATGGGGTTCACTGTGAGTCAGAATCAACTCGATGGCAGTGAGTTTGGTTTTAGTTAATCAACTAAATACTCCTCATCTCAGTGACTAATGTGTTTTTGATTACCAAGCACCTATAAAGTAATCTGTAAAAAAATGAGGCTAAATGTTCTAGTATTTTCTAAGCTCTAACAACATAACATATATTTTAAAATTTTTATCAGTAACTTGTTGCCACCCTCCCATCTCCATAAAATTCTTTCCATCTTTCTCTATTAATTTTGAGGAGAACAAGAAAAACAGGCCAATAAAAGGTATTATTATTTTATCAACCTTAATTAAGTGGACCAAAGAGATAGCTGAGAAATGTTGAGATGGAAGAAGAAAACTTTAGTTCTAATGCCTTATGTCCATACTGTTAACTAACACAATAACGTGATACTGGAGCTGGAGGGCACTTAAATTTAGAGTTTACCACTAACACTGGGCACATGAACACTGTGCAAGACTGGCTCAGCACAGTTCATTCTCAAATTTCACAATGCACTCACTGATCAACGCAACTAGGGCCAGGGAGTTGGCTGGGATTCAGGACAAATAACATGAAGTAGAAAATGGTGTAAACAACAGCTGACAATCTGAAAGCCAACAAGTTATAAAAGGAGTGTCTCTAAAGCCACTAAAACATTTGAATAAATCCCTTTCCTGCTCATTGCATCCCACTATATTGAAGACTCATCATTTAAAAATCATAGCACAAAAAAGAGACCCTGGATGACAAGGTGTCTGCATAGTGTCTTAAGATATGGACGACGCTCTGGAAGGGATCATTCTAGATTTTGCAAGTCTGACAATCAGGGCAGAAATAATGGGCTTTCATAAGCTAGCGAAAAATGGGAGAGGTAAAAGCCAGGTGTGGGGGTGGGGAATGACAAAACCGCAGATGAGAAAACAAAAAAAATCTCCAGAATCACAAAAAGCAAATTTCATAATTGGTTGTCCAGAAAACTATCTGAGCATTTTCTTCAGGAATACCATAAAATAAAACATCTTCATTCTTTCTAATAGAGTTGGCCTCTTTTGCAGATAAGAGTTTAATTCATAATAAACAGATAAAATATTACCAACTATAATATTTTTCAAATAGTCAAGTACTGTATTATTGATGTTGTTGTTGTTGTTATGTGCTGTTGAGTCGGCCCCGACTCACAGCGATCCCTCCTTGGAAACCTTGGGTTTCCGAGGCAGTATCACTACAGAAGTAGATTTCCCCATCTTCCTTCCGAGGAGTGGCTGGTAGAAGACTTACATATTTTAACTACTTATTTTCAAATAAGGATCTACCAACACTGATAAAATATGTTAAGTATTCATCTCCAACTCTAAATTCTAGTTATTATTAATTTCTCTTTACTTATATGTGACCTTGTTGTTGTTATATGTGACCTTGTTGTTGTTATATGTAACCTTGTTGTTGTCTTGTCTGACCGTCGAGTCAGACCCAACTCATAGTGACGCCTCCTTGGGTTTCTGAGGCAGTATCACTACGGAAGTAGACTGCCCCAGACCATCACTCTAATATTAAAACAAAGGACACTGAAATTTCAGTAAAAAGATTTAATAATTCAATTTTACCATACTTTTTTTTTTCGGATAAAAAGCTAAAATGCCATTTTTCAGGGTACCAGCTCCATTTTTCTCATTTCTCTCTAGATAAAACACATAGTAAAATGTCTTCCTGTGTAAATTTCATTTTGAATAAATTACACATAAAATATTCCTTTCAGCTAATCACTGGGCTGCTTTTGTATAGTTAAAGCTACTGTGGGTTCCTCAGTATAAATTTTTAATAGAAAAGTATTCTACTTAATGTATATTACATAGGTAATTTCAGACATCACTTAAACCGTCCAAAATAGTTACTCATTTTCATCAGATTTCACTTACGTTTCTAGAAAAGAAAGGCCCGCTTTGCTGTCTGAAATATTCCTGTAAGCCAAGAAGACATTTCACCTAAGGTAAGTAGTTGGTGAATTATAGATAGGATCCACAAGACTAATTGGAATTGTTACTCCTCGTTTCATCTTTTACAGACACAATTTCTGAGAATTGAAAGGGCTTAAAATTAATACAAGGAGTTCTGGTGGCATAGTGCCTAAGGCACTTGACTATTAAGCAGAGGCTGGCGGCTGAAACCCACCAGCTGCTGAGCTGAAGGAAGATGGGGCGATCTACTTCCATAAAGATTTACTGCCTCGGAAACCCAATGAGGGGGGTTGCTATGAGTCAGTATTGACTTGATGGGAATGAGTTTTATTTTTTATTTTTAAATGAATACCAATAATAATATGCCTAAATAAAGAGAAAGCAACCATACTATCTATTTTTATTATCTCAGTTATTCTTTCTACTCACACATAAACCAAAAAAACCCAAACTCACTGCTGTGAAGTCAGATCCGACTCACAATGACCCCTCCTTAGGTTTCCGAGGAGGTGTCACCATGGAAGTAGATTGCCCAACCTTCCTTCTGAGGAGTGGCTGGTGGGTTTGAACCTCCAGCCTTCTGGTTAGCAGTCAAATGCCGTAGGCACTACACACACACACAAATAGAAATGACGACAGAGCACATTATAAGACAATTTTATGAAAACTCTCTTTATTGTTGAAAACAGCTTGTGTGAAAGCTTCTGCGGCAAAGGGCTTACTTTCAACACTAGGCCATAAATTAGAAATCCAGATATAATGTCTAAGTTTCACCTTGGAAGAAACCATCAAGGGTAAGTAAACAGCTTTATTATTAAGTATCTCGTATCTGCATTTTTACTTGACTTAACACAATGTGTCAAAATAATGTATAAACAGCAAAAAGACAAAGATAGGAGACATCATTCCTAGTTTAGTAGTGAAAGACAAAAATTCTATATCCTGTACAAATGGCTTCTGAACACATTGGTAGTTAATCTATTAATGTTTTTTTTTATAAACCCAGGGAATTGATTTTACCACACCTCCTCTGGCAAACTCCCTGCATGTCTTATATTCTCTCCTAGTGTTCTTGTGTTATAAAATCCTTAAAATCAGGAACTGGGCCTTATATTTCATCTTATCAGCTAAAGCATCTAGCACAGACACTGCTTGATGACTGACTGATAAGCTGAGATGGGCAAATGAGTTGAACATGCAGCTATCAATCTGATTGCCCCAGGAAAGGAATCTCAGGTAGGTCTTCTCTCTAAGCAAATAACACATACATGTTCAAATTCAGGGACAGAGAAGTTTTCAGTGTATGGTGTATTTAGAAATTAGCAACAGCCTAGAAGCTCTCAGGCTAAAAGATGCAGCAGCTAACTCACAAAACTGTACCTGCTTGAACACTTCTTCATCCTGGTGCGTTGTTCTAACTAGCTCTTGAATGAAACCATATGGGAGATTCCTACACAGCATATACGGCACCAAGAAGGACGGCTGCTGCATGGACCTGTGGACACATGAAAATCAAGGGCTGTGATGACATCAACTTGTTATAATGTGACAAAAGAATCCAATGACATGTCATGTTAGCAGCAACTGTCCAGTCAAAAGTCAGCTTTTAGAACTCCCAAATATTCTGCACAATAATTTAGGTAGAAGACTGCCCTTCCAGTCAGTAGTAATCACTTTTTGGAATTTTAGTGAGAGACTATATATACACTATACATAAGTCCATTTTTTCCCACACACAACCTTTAAAAATGAAGCATTAAAAAAAACAAAGCATTACATGTTTCTCTTACTTATGTATTTATGCCTCATCCAATTTGAAAAAAAGGCTAGGAAGGGCTAAGGACTTTTTAAAACTCCTATAAATTGTAACCCTGGAACATTTTTCAAGCTTTTGGAACATGTGTACAGTGTAGTAAATCACATATTGTGGCTTTTCTAGCCATAAGTCTTTGTAAACTCCATGGTGGAATTTGCCATGAGCAACTGCGTAGCTCCTGATAGTTAAAATTATCTACCTCAGGTATTTCTATTGGGAGCAGCATAAAGTAATTTTCTGGGAAGTTTGCTCTCTCTCAGGTGTGTAGAACTCTGATTTTGGTACTGGTTGGTTTGGCCACTCTGCCAGGCTCAAAAGGAGCCCTCCTAGAGGCAGAACCAGTCTCTCTGACTGCTGGCTGAGAAAGACTTGCTGCTGAGAGAAACACACTCCTGAGAGACATGAGACATGCACTGCTGAGACAGCGATGCGAGAGACACGTACTACTGAGAGAGCAATGTGCTACTGAGACTGCCAGCTGCTCAGTGAGATGGCTGGCTGCAAGAGACTGAGTGCATTTCTGAACTTGAATTGTAGTCTGGTGCTTCCCTAATAAATACCATAATCTGCAAGTTTTGTGTGGCCACTGCAGTGACTTATCGAACCCAGCAGAGAGGTGGTGGGTGCTGTGGGAGGGATGGCTGGTGAAAGGGCTGGAGGGAGGCAGCATGTCTGGCCTCGCAGGAATAGGCCTTGGGCTATTAATGGTGATTCTGTCTTCCTCTTGTGGGGTTGGAGGAGGTCAGAAGATGCAGCCTCCTTGCCCCTTTGGTAATATGTATCATTTTCCTTCTTTTCAAAACCTTAAAGAATATATGGTTAAAATGTAGAAAATAATATAAAAAACACCCACTATGTATTTTTGCATAATAAACACAAAACATATAAACATTCTTCTTTATTAAATCTAAAACCTTTATGGGTCTCCTAGGAACAAAGAAACAATGCAGCAGTGACCGGTATACCATGCAGTACACCACTGTCAACCACTCAGAGGGGGATCTATGGAGGAGATCCTGGATTGAGAGGGAGAACAACGTGGAACAAACCTCAAAATCATTCGGGGGAAAAAAAAAAAGAGGGGGGACCAGGCTTGCTGGTCTGATAGAGACTGGTGGAACCACTGAGACTATGGCTCCTAGCTGCCTTCAGGTCTGGAATTGAACCCACACCTGTGGCTTCCAGCCAAACAAAAGACAGGCATTTGAGTTGAACATTTACCTGAGGTAGATACACTCCTTGGAGAGAACAATCATGGGAGAAAGAAGGGCTGCTTATGCACAGGGAGACAGCTCAGGGGGCAGGAGTGCATGGAGGGATGGACACAGGAAAGAGGTAACTATCGGGAAGAAATGGGAGGGGAGCTGTTGCACTGGGGTAAACTGTAGTCAATGTCATGAGACAACGTGTGTGTGAACTGCTGTATGGAAAGTGAATTTGCTCTGTAAACTTTCATCCAAATCACAATTAAAAAAAAAAAAGAGAGAGAAAGAATGCAGCATACTTTGGGTGGTTTCCTAATTATCTATTCCTCCACTAGTTACTACTAAATAACAAAAAATGACAGTGTGATACACAGAAAGCGATAAGCTACACATTTTATCAAATACCTTCTGTGATTTCAAGCAGTTGCTCTTAAACAAAGTTATTAATTTTCTGCCTTGATGTCTACATATTTTAACAATGCTTTAGTCTAACAAAGCATGAAAAACTCTTAAAATATAATTAATTTGAACTCACTTTAATTTCATTTAAAAGTATGTTTTGCACTACTTTTAAGAGATGAAGAGAAAAAGAGTTTTGGAATTTAAAATAATCATTTTTATAGTATTTTAGAGAAGAAACGGAACCTAACAGATTAACCTAGTCAAACACTTCCTTTTGACAGGTGAGGAGATAAGTTACTCAAAGTGTTGGAAAATGACTGGACAGCCTGATGCCCACTGATGACAACAATCCCCTCTGCCCACACCAAGCACCTAACGGCTCTTCTACCTTGGCTGTGTTAGGGAACCTTGTAGTACTAATGCAGTATGGGAGATGCACTGTGAGCGGATGTTGCTGAGAAGCTGGCTGACGGCTGGCTGGCTGCACATCTGAAAAAGACAGAAGGAGGTTAGGACTACAGGAAACAAACGAAGAATTCCATACTACTGAAAACTGACAACTGTCGGAACAGATCTCCAGAAAAAGACATGCTATTTTCTTCTTCCCTTGTCATAATGAAACGACTGGAGCAACTATTACCCAAGTATGCACAGTGTCTGAAATACATGGTCAGAGAAGAAAGCAGCAGATATTTGACGTGGCTGCTCAGGAACCTGAGAGATGTGCCCACCACTCTCTCTTTCCTTCTGCTCAGGTTCAGTGCAAGAAACCCCACCAAGGCCCTTCACAAATATGAAACTAACAGGTAGCCAAAGCGATTAGTTTCTAACGTAAAATTAGAACAGAAAATGAAATAGGGAAGAAAAAGAAAAAAATCATAAAGAGGGTCGGAAAGGTACAGTGAAGCAAGTATAGTTTCCTGGGTTTAATCCCAGCTTTGGAACTTATTATTTGAGTGATCCAGGATAAATTATTTAATCTCTTGGAGGTCCATCTTATTCATACAATGAAAAGATAATACTTATCTTACACTCAGTTACACTGAGCTGACTGAACAACTATGAGAATCTGAGTTCATGAAGACCTTGCACAGAACTTGGCAATTTTCAGGTGCTCAACAAATGCTGGTTATTATAATGATGATAACAGGCTATTAGATACATCAGGGTCATGCAAGCTGTTCATGGCACCAGCTACAGTGTGTTGGTTAAGGAGAAGACTCTGAAGCTATGTCATATAGGTTCACATCTTGACCCTGTCACGTCTTCCCTCCACTACAATGTGAGTACATGAGGGCAGGCCTCTTTATCTGCTCTGTCCACTGATATATCCAAGCTCCCAGTACAGTGTCCAACACATATTTGATGTGCAATAACTACTGATTGAATAAATGAAAGAGTGCTCTTCAGGTCTAAGGGGGGAAAAAGATTATCAAACAAATAGTCAGCTTGGGGAAAAAAAAAAAGAAGAGTCTATGACATCTCACCTTTGGTGCTTTTTTTTCCTCTATTCCAACTCGGTCAAAGCACTCGATGAGGTAGTTCAGCATATCTGTCTCCTTGCATGTTTCAATGGTGAAATGGTCACTATAGGAATCCCAAATACTCGCCCCACCAGAGGCTCCCAAACTTTGGAAGGAAAAGATGACCAGAGGAAAAAAAAAATTGATTCTTATCTCTTGATTATTTCTTTTTGACAGAGTTTGCATTTCTGCAGCAAAAAGCCTGTTAGGTCCCTATACCCACAACCAAGCACAAACACCCATGCAGCCAAGACTGGAGCTGATTGCTTACTTCACCTGTTCCAAGTGCAGTAACATTATTTTTGGTAGACATTTTATGGACCTCAAAGGAAATATGACTAGAAACCCATCACCACATCTTATTGGGAATGGTGACTTACAAATAAACCCAAAAAGACTAGGAACTGCTACCAAATGTGATGTATGTGAAGGACCACCAAGGCCTTAATCAAAATTGACCACGGTCATGCCGGCAGACTTGCAGATTAAAGCCGACTAGGCTGCTGCTGTAGTCAAACTCTTTAGCAATGAAGTTGTCAGGTACTAACAAAATACCACTTTATCGCAATGACGTTTAAAATATATCCCAAAAGCCTTTATCCAGGCAAACAATTTGTTACATATCTATTTATTATGATAAAATTTTAAAAAGCCTTTATTCAGCATTTGCCAACAGGACCAGAGCTTAGCAGTTAGAAGGAGACATGAAAATATTTGCTACCAACACAAAATGTTCTAAAACTTTTAGCAAAAAGGGCAAAGTAGTATGGTAAAAACAAAAGGAAAATCCTAGATCAGGGGTATGTAGACTTGGGTCCTACTGCTCTTCTAGTGTCATTGCTTACTTGGTACATGAACCTGGAACACCTCTAGCTTATCTGCAGTGAGCATTAATCAAATAATGTGCAAGTGACCTGTAAGTTCTAAGCAGGACTCGATGTAAGGCATTGTTATTATTAGTTGTAACTATTACCTGAGACGAAAACCAAGCATAATCATGAGGGTTAGATGTAAGGAAATTAAATAAAGCTGAGACCAATCATCACAAGTCACATACCAAAAGTGATATTAACTCACAAACTGATTTGATACACACAAAAGATAGGAGGAGATTAAACACGGCCTAGGAGGAAAGGGATTTTGAAATGAAGAGGAAAACACCGACTCAACAAATTACATATAGACGATGACAGAGGATGGGAAGACCATCAGGAACTTGAGAGACATACCCTTGCTTCAACCTGGGGGGGAGCGCAAACAATTAAAGACAAGGAACTACAAGCACCAAAAGGAACTGACATATTAACAGTGTTATACAGGTAGACAGTAGACATATAACACTAACTCAGGAATCTTAAAACTGATCTTGGAATTTGATGGAAATATACATAATTGACCGAGAAATGAAACCATGATATGAAAAGTGTTTCCGTAAGGAGGATAAAAACAATGCCAGTTTTAAACCGAAGGCTTTCAGGCCACAATCTAGTAAATCTGAACCCCTACAATCTAGAATACAGGCCTGGGGTCTCTGGTGGCACAAATGGTTAAGCACTCAGCTGCTAACAGAAAGGTTGGTGTTTCACATCCACCCAGAAATGCCTTGCAAGAAAGGCCTGGCGATCTACTTCTGTAAAGATTACAGCCAAGAAAACCCTTTGGGGCAGTACTACTGAGTAGCACATGGGCTGCCATGAGTCAGAACCCACCTGATGGCAACAGGTTTTTAGTGTTCAGGTCTCATAAGAGAGAAGGGAGGAGACTGAGACATAATCAAAGGCACAACCCCCTGCTGAGTGAACAGGTGACACAGTCACCCGCAAAGCTCTCCAGCAGAGGCCTGGATAAAGATGAACAGACAAGCGCGGAATCTCTCAGAAACAAAAACAATTCTTGTGTTTTCTTAACAATTTTTTTGGTATACTTCACTAATCACAGGATGGTATCTGTTCATTGGCATGGAAAAGATAGGTAAGTACTGTAATAAAGCACAAGAAAAAATACACAAAAACGAAACAGAAAAGCAGAAAGGGGGGGAAGACATCTGTCTTTATTGCAGTAATTAGTTACTTTCAGCCCTCTGCTACATGCTCCTGTTCTTTTGATGCTTAGTGACTTAGTCACCACACTCATTACACGTCTCAAAGATAAACTTTGCTAATACAGGGCTGTATCTATATACAACCAATCACAACTTGCCTTTGAGCAGCTCTCTCAGATGACAATGAAAATAGATCATCTTAATTTAAAATAAAAAATTTAAACTACATGTTTCCTTGATACTAAGCCATGCATTTCTCACATTTCATTTTTCCATTTCTGAAATGAAAATCCTCTTAAATCTGATGTCAACAGGTCCTTACCAGCTGCAGGGAATCCGTCTGATGCATGTGAATGTTTGTGTGAACAGAGCAGGTTTGGATGGTGTCGGCTCATGCAATTGCTATTGAAATTAGGGTCCATCCTTACCAGCATATTCTATTAAATTTTAACTTAAATTTGGACCCTCACTGTCACTTGGATGTCTTCACATATTTCACTAAGACACAGACAGTGACAATCTATGTAGAAGACTGCATGTCTCACAGCAGGCAATGCACTGAGAGGCACTCAGAATATATCACAGAATTTTCAAAGCTAAAAAAGGTTGTGTATTGTGGTGAGCATCAGCCAGGCACCAAACAACACTTGCAGCTGACTTCAAGAAGAGAGGGAAAAAATAAAAGTTTTACCAAATAGGAAATGTAGAGTAAACCCCAGCATTCTTCAAATGTTTCACAATTATAAGATCAACCCTAAAGGGGATAGAGTAGAACATGATCACAAGTATGAAAAATGGTCAGTATCCCCAGTGTTATGCCTAAGTGTCAATGACAATACTGATTTACAAGGATCTTTACATTCAAAATTAAAGTGTTGGACTCAATTTTGGAATATTATACCAAAAAGAAAGTGGTGTATAATTATATGCATAAATTTATGATACTATCAATATATTTAAAATGTTTAAAGTAATATTTCTTTTCCTTAAAAGAAAAAAAGCATACAAAATCGACGATACTTTTACAACTGGGACATCCTAAAATCTCGGAAATAGGTCATATTTAAGTCCCAAGAGCAACCAGAAAAATTATACCTCCTTCTGGGAGAAAGTGTGAACCGTTTTCTGATAACTACATCAGCAGTCCAATTTTATGGATGTAATTCTTCACATAGGAGAAATACAGCTGAGTCCTTCTGGAAACACAATGAAAATATTCCTGGGAATTTATACATGCAGCAACCTGAATCCCATTTTAAATGCACCAAGGAAACTTGCTTTTTAAAGGAATTCTACTAGGGTTTCTTTTATAATGTGAATAATCACTCTCGTTTACTTACTCTATGAATGCAGAATTAGCTATTTTGCATTTTCTCAATTCAAGGCAAAGTCAGAGTTGTGTAAGTTTAAGCAATGTAAATTCATTCACCAAATATGTATTTGGTGCCTTCTGTGTTTTAGTCACCATTCTAGGCTCTGGGGATACTGCACCGAATCAAATGGATGAAGACCTTGCTCTTATGGTAGTTACATTCTAGCGAGGAAAACAGTCAAAGATACATCAATATACAAGTGCTATAAATGAAAATTAAAACAGTACAGAGAAGGAAGGTAAATGTGTATGAGTGTCAGTGTCTCTATGTGTTGTATACAATAGGGTCAAGGGAAAACCCTCTGATCAGAAGGCATTTATTTGCACCTGTAGGAAGTCAGGGAGCTGGCCATGCAGCTATATGGGGTGAGAGTAGTACCAAGAGAGGGAACAAGTGCAAAGACCTAAAGCAGGAAGGAATATGCTGGATGAGGTCAAGGAATGGGAGAAATCCAGCGTATGCAGGATGGAGATGAGGTTGGAGATGAGGTTGGAGAGGAGCAGCCCATGTGTGTGCATGTGTGCATGCACATGTGAGCATGCATGTGTGTGAGATCCAGGCATGGTAGTGAGGGGCTCTGGATTTCAGTCCACGTGAGAAAGGAAATCACTGGAGAGTCTGGGACACAGACATGATGGAAAGTTTTCTTTCAACCATTGTCATGCTTTCTCCTCAACTTCTTTACTGTCACTAATTTTCCCTTTCTCAATATACATAGGATCACAACATTCAAGATTTGACCTCCTTCACTGAAATGTGCAAGCAGTTTAAAAAAGAAAAAAAAAAACAACTTTCTTTCTAGTCATCAATTTGCTAGGAAAGGATTAGAAAAAGTTTCCTCAGAATAACTCCTCTAGGATCTTTTCTACAAGATAATTCTCTCGTTTCACTCCAGCAAGAAGCAGTTCATACAATTCACATAGCTGCTTTTCACAGAGGACTACACAAATTACAGGAGGAATGTTTTATCTTTCTTAAACTAATCTTTATCATCATCACTATAAATAACTAATTTGTGAATGTTTATCCCAACTACATTCAAAAAGATTTACATTAATTCCAACCCCCAGCAAACAAAGGAGGAGATAGATTCAACCCCTGTTGATTCATTCTTTTTTCTTCAACAGTTACCTCTCTGGGCAGGAAGTAGATGTTAAAATTGCTTATTTCAGAGCAAATACAATTCTGGGATGATCAATTAGAAAGAAGGAAAGGAAAATTATTTCTTTGTTGATCAGATCAAATTAACTAGGGTTTTTATTTTTCTAGGTTCTGGCCCTAATTGGATGCACAAGTTCTTCTATTTCTTACATCAATCATATGTTAGGCATTTTTACCCATCCTTTCACATTCTTTTTGATATCTACTCAGAATCTGGGAGCTCTGGTGCCATAGTGCCTAAGGCACCACTCCTCGGAAGGAAGGTTGGGCAATCTACTTCCCTAGTGATACTGCCTCAGAAACCCAAGGAGGGGTTGCTATGAGGCTCTGACTCCAAAGCACATAACAACAACACTCAGAATCTATAAATTGCTGGGATCTAGGTAGATCAGATGTCACTACAATAGTGAACAAAAACACGTCAACTGACCTCACTAGAATTTTGTCATTGAGAAGCAAAATGCTGATACTTCCTTGCTAAGGAACTGAGTAGATGTGCAGATCACTGACAGAGAAACAGCTAGTAAGGAACAAAGCAAAAAACAAAAAAACAGCTGCTGTTGAGCCAATCTGACTCATGTCGACCCCATGTGTGTAGAACTGAATTGTGCTCTGTAGGGTTTTCAAGGCTGTGGCCTTTCAGAACCAGATTGCCAGGTCTTTCTTCTGAGGTGCTTCTGGGTAGGTTCAAACCACCAGCCTTTTGGTTAGTAGTTGAGTGCATAAACATTTGGGCCACCCAGGGACTCAGCAAAGAACAAGGACAACACAAATACCAACAAGAAAAAATAGAGGGAGGCAGCACAGCGAGGTGGTGAAGAATGCAAGTTCTGGATTCTGGTGGCTTGAGTCCGACACCAGGTTCTGCCACTTACTAGTTATGTGACCTTGACCTTCCTGTAGCCATTTTCTAACAGTAGCTAGCACGGTGCGCTGTTGTAAGAATCAAATGAGGTAGGGCATGAGGAGTGCTGGCATGGTATCTGGCACCTAACACTGCACAGATATTTGCAGCTATTGTTATTCATATACAATCTGTAAGTTTTATTTCTCTTCTTAGGCATAGAATCATTTAGCTCTGAAGCACGGTTAGAATGCCAGGAAGTTCAGAAAGAAAGGAGTTAGTAACAGCAGCATGCAACCCGATATATCTGCAGGGAAAGGAAGAACTCAATACATCAGAGAAGAGAGAGCAGCTCTCCCACAGACAGTGTGTAATGGAACAGGTAACAAAGCACATTCACCATGTATGGAAATTGTTTCCTAATAAGGACACCTGCTGCATTACTATAAACACACAATGAGATGTTATTGACATGAAAAAGACACTTCCACTTTTGGGAAATTCACTCAAGAAAATAGTCAGCCTCATACTAATATCAATCTCATACAAATATCAACCTTCATAAATCAACATTCAACTTTGTACCAATATCCTTAGTGCTCGCTCTTTTTTTTTCCCCCGGAACACTATATTGTGCTTTAGGTGAAATTTTACACAGCCAATTAGTTTCCCAATCAATAATTCATACACAGAATGTTCCATGGCATTGGCTGTAATCCTCATAATGTGTCAACACTCTAACCTTTTCCTCCCTGGGCTCCCCATTTCCATTCCTCCAGCTTCCTTGCCCCTTACTGCCTTCTCCTCTTTAGTTTTGGAGTAAATGCTGCCCTTTTGGTCTCACAAAGCTGATTATTCTAATAAGCACAGTCTTCTCAGGTGTTACTGTTTATTTTACAGGGCCATCTATTTATTGGCTGAAAGGTGGCCTCCAAGAGTGTCTTCAGGTTGAAGTCAGAAGCTTGTCTTAGGGGAACAGTCATGGGGGTTCCCCCAGTCTCTTTAAGGCCAGTAAGTCTGGTCTCTCTTTCTTTTTTTTCATTTGAATTTTGTCTTACGTTTTTTTATCCATTCTAACCAAGACCATCTACTCTGGTCCTGGTCAGAGTGGTCATCAGAGTAGTTCTTCTGGTCTCAAGTTAGAGGAGGGTGTGGTTGACTTGGGTGTATATACTCTCTTATCAGTTCTTCTGAACACTTAAGTTTAATGAAGTATACCCAACTCCTACGGCTGTCTCTATTTATAGCCTGCCGTTATTTTTGAACAAATACCAATTTGGTGCAGAGGAAGCAAAAATTTAAGAGCAAAATTATAAGACAATGAGTCAGAGCATTAGAACAAAGGTGTGTTTATATTTTCTTGCTCAAAGTCACCTAGAAAACCTAAGTCATCTTTTTCATTAGGTTCTCAGGGGTGAACATTCAACAACATCATGAGCTATGTTTTGGTCTCTGCTGCCATTCCAAAGACTGTCTAAGCAAATCGCATCTAGCTTCACTGAGGTTAAGGAGGTGCCTGGCTAGATTTAAGGACAGGAGTGAAAGCAGAATTACAGTTACACCAATATATACGAGCCCATATGCAATCCACTGGATTGCTCAGATGAAGCACGCACACACAAGTCTCAGCCACTCTGCCATTCTTAAAATAGCAGCAGTCCATGCAACTATACTTAAGAAAACATACCAGTCAAGTTACATGTTTCTCACATTTGGTAGTTCACATGAACACCCTCTCAGCAGGTAAACGAAGGGTTCCTCATTCTAGATCCTAGGATGGATGCACTTAATGACGACTGACCTATTTTGGCAAACGATTATATCTAAGTTTTCCTCCAAAGTTACCAGACAATAATGATAAAAAAATTTCCTATGTGCCATTTTATTCCATGATAAAGTCCTAAGACTTGAACACATGCAAGTTTCTTGCATCCTGCCTTTCTAGCCCTCCTCATGTGACCCTGTTGTGGGAATCAAAGCATACCCTCAGTTAGGGCTCATCAAAGTTAGTTCCTAAGAGCCAACTGCACATGCAGGTGTCAGATTCCATTCCTCTGATACCTGGACCCAAACTGGACACAAGAAAAATCATCACCACCACCACCACCTTCAGCAGCAGCAGCATCACCGTCATCATCTTCTTCATCACTACTGTCTCCAGAAAGTGCGAGGAAGAGGAAGGAGAAAGGATTGTCGTACATACTACCACAACAAAAGCAAAAAAGGTCATCAGGGAACAAAAGAAAAACAAGAGAGGCGGATGCTTTTCAACTGTTGTCCTTTTAAATAAACCTTATGCTAAAAGTTTTCGCTACTGACATGCAGAAAAAAATTTCACCTACATTTTGGAAATACAAAGGTACATTTGAGAGAGAAGGGGCACTGGATTAATGGAATTCGGATACTGCTTCTTTCTAAGAAGCTGAAATTTCACAGAAGCAAACATCAAAATATGGAGGCAAAAGCACTGGCCCATCCCCAGTCACTCGGGATAACAGACACCAGCACCAGAGTTACTCTCACAGCCCCTTGGTTTGCTACAAAAGTCAATCCAGAATGCTCCATGAACCCCACCTCTCAAATACAACATTAACCATATCTCTGACACTCATTTGCAATAAGAAATGATAGGTAAACTAGGTTTCAAAAAATTTCACTTTCTTGTTCCCCCTTCAGAAAGGAGGAAGACTGAGGAGAAGGAAGGGAAGATGGAATTCACAATCTAGCAGCCCATGTTGGGATGTTATCAAAGCCTGGAGAAGCATGGCTGCAGGGCACGCGTCTACCAAACTAAGTAAGCCACACAGGTTAATGACCCAGAACAGACACAACCATGTAACTGAGGTCAGTGCCACACAACAGTTCCTCCAAACTGTGTTAATCTCCTTTGCCTGCACCGCAAACACACACACACTCTCCTGCTGAATAAATACCTAGGAGAAATCCTTAGGGAGGAGGGACGTCTGTTCACGGCACTGGGGGAGGCAGAAAGCAAAGGTGGACCCATGGTGGAGGGTCTCTGTTGGGAAGAGTTGGCGGGTACTGCTTGTGGGCTACTAGCGAGGGTGTGTAGGCTTGATGAGCTAGACAGAACGGAGACGCCTGAGGACCGCAGTGTAGGAGAAGCTGAGGAACCCGAAGGGTGGGCGACAGTGTAAGGGCGATACCGTGGAGAGTAGGGCTGGCTCCCTGCAGCAGTTCCGGAAGCTGCACTATGAGGACTGAGGGAAATGGAAGGCACAGCCAACTGGGTGGCTGCACGGGAAGGTGAGGCAAGAGAGGGACTCATCATTGGCACAGAGCTCCACAAACTGGCAATGGGAGCAGGACTAGTTTCAAAGAGGCTAAATTAGTTGAGAAAAGAAAGAAAGAAGAGAAAAATTGAGGGAAAAATTGAGATAACATTACTAAAATGGAAAAGATTATCAAGCTTTTAAAGAATAATATAATTATATCTCATTATCTCTAAGAGTTCAAGTGTACAGATGTATCAGATATGCAAGTAATTAAAATCTAACTTCTTTGTTGATCTAGAGGCTATACTTTCATATGATGATATAGCCCTCTTTCCAAAGAATAATGTACTACATACAGGCATTTGTTTCTAAAATGTAATTTACCAATAGTCTAACTGTGGAAAACCAAAAGAAACTAATCTGGAAAAGACAATACCACCTCTAAAGACAAAACCCATGCCCCCAGATGGGAAGCACATCATAACTTGCATGACATGGCTTGAGAACAGACTTCCCCTCCGCCCACATACGTCATGGTCACTTTATACCAATGAGATGTACAAAGAGAACACCACTGACCTAGACAAAGAGCTGGCACTGAAGGAACCTACGTTGCAGAACATGGGGCTTGTTCCTGGATTGGAGCCAGTATTTAACAGGAGATTTCTGTCTGGTGACCGAGCTGCTGCCGCAATTGGCTGTGATGTTGCTGTCAGACTGGCAAATGGGTTTTCATCTCTAGTCTGAGTAGACATCATTAGCACTTCCATTAAAATCTGGCCAATCAAGTCCTTAAAATCAGAGAACACTGTTGGAAAGGCAGAATATAGAACAGATTACACACAGTTCTTCATACACATGGTCCCTGAATAAGCGAAACTGAATCAGAGATGTTCAATGTGGCATCCCAGACTATATCTTCTTCAGTGGAAAGGGAAGAAAGTAGTCAAAAAAAAAAAAAAAAAAAAAAGACATTAATGGAAAAGCTAGTGAAATCCAAATGAAGTCTAAAGTTAATAGTAATGTATCAATCTTAATTTCTCAGTTTTGAAAAAGATACCATGGTTATATAAGATGTTACCATTAGGGGACATGTATATGGGAACTCTGCACTATCTTCACAACATTTCTGTAAATCTAAAGTTAGTCCAAAATAAAAACTTTATTTAAAATAATGAGTCATTACGGAGACCCCTCTCTCTCTCTCTCCCCCTCTCTCTGTATAATAAACTGATAAAGAAGCTACTCCCAACTGCAGAGGCTAGTTTACCAAACTACAAACACAACTAGGTCAGTATTTTTTAGTCTGTGTATGTTTTAGATACAGTAACACTATTAAGTTCAAAGTTCAAAAAATTTTATTAAAGGTCCAATATTAAGTCACCATCTGGCTTCATGCAGTAGATTGTACATTCCAGCTTCCTTTTTATTCTTTACTGCACGTCTTTAGACACAGCACGATATCACTAAACAAATATATGTTCTAACCAGTGTAAATCTTACCTGATTTGGTTACTGAAAATTACTACTCACATAGATATAAGACAGTTTTGAGAATCTTAATATTTATAAGAAGAATAAGAACAAGTGGCAGGATTTTAAAACCTCTGGTCATTAAGCTCATCTCTATAACCAGAGTTAATAAGAAGATCCAGTGAAGTCAGAAATACTCCTCCAGGAATACGGGGGGTTTATTTATTTACTTTGGTGCTAAATGAAAGGCAGCATAAGAAAAGATAATTTCCTTGACATTCATTCATTTTAAATGTATCTATTGAGGAACTATTATGTGCAAGATACTGGGGATACGTAAGTGAGCAGAAGAGACAAAAATCCCTGCCATCAGAGAGCTTACATTCTAGTGCTATGTAGAACAGTCCCTGCCCCTTACCTATTCTGTTTTCTAAATGACTGCCATCAAGAAAATGACAGTGCTCTGTAATTCTGGTCGGAAGGAAAATCAGGCAGTCTGCTTCTGTAGTGATACTGCCTCAGAAACCCGAGGAGGGGTCAGTATGAGTCAGTGAATTTGGGTTTTTTTTTTTTTTTTTTTGTCTATAATTTTGGTATGCTTTTAAGAGCTTTATTATTTTATTGATGTGTGGTTTAACATACAACTGCTTAAGACAGAATCTTGGAAACACAGCAAAATATAATTATACTAACAACAGATGTGCTCCCATGTTTAGGCACTTAAAGCAGATATGGGTTGTACAGAGCCCTTCTCTCAAGATCTCTGGAGATCACCCAGAATACTTCTACTTTATAAGAGGAGTTAATGCACCTTCTAAGCACCTTCTCTGGTAAAGAGAAAGACTTGAACCTTGAGACAACAGAGATCACTAACTTATATATGTAGTTTTCTTTAGTAGAAATCGTGAAAGTGAAAAATAGTTTACCAATAAGACCAATGGGAAGGGAAGAAAGTGCCCAAATAGCAGTGTCCTCACCAAGAAGTATCCTGTAATTAAAATCCCTAAAGCAAGCTAGAGGGATGTGGGTTACAGAGAATGACAGATCTTACAGATTTTTTTCTCTTAAGTAATCTGAAATAAGACTGCTGAGCTCAATTCTTACCTTCTTTTGGGTTCTGCTTAAATTGTGCAGAAAGAGAAGAAAGAAAGATGACATCTCTGTCCCGGTCCTTCCACGAGACACGGAAGATCTTACAGACCAGCTGTAAGGCCTGTTCTTCGGACACCTCAGAACCCGATGGAGGCTCCTGGTGAGGAAGAAGATATGGCGGTTAATTTCAAGTAGTAAAGGAGGTACAAGTTAGAAACATCAATAGAAATACTTTATTCTGCTTTAGTTCGTTTATTAATGAGGATATTTTTAAAATGCACAAAAACTATTTAGTCATCGATTTAAGGAAACCTAAACTTGTTACTATGACTTTATAGCAGTGGCACCTAGGTCTCATAAGCTTACAAATACAATCTATGGGGGAGGATGAAAAGAGTGAGAACATTATCAGAAATCACCGAGGAAGGAAAGCACTATATTGATATATACAGATAACCTATTTACTGTTTTTCTCAACTCTCAAGGACTATATGAACATTTTAAGTACAGTACAAAACCAATTTTCCTTCAAAAATTACCCTAAAATATCACAGAAAGAACTTTGTAAGCACTAAAGAATTCACAAAAATAAAGCATGACACCACTAGCAGGCTGTAGTTAAACTTCTAATAATCATCAATATGTGTTGGTAAAGGATTCCTAGCAAGTTACCGAACAGAAAGCAATCCAATTACCTCCATCATTCTAAACCATGGCATAAAAAAAAATCCCCTTTTCTGAATATAAGGAGTTAAATAAGCTCAGAGGATAACAAAACATGAAAGTCTCACATTTTTCAAAAAGCTCCTTATTACTAGATTCTATGAGTCTTGCTTCAGTTCCCAGCCATTTTCCTCAAACACTGCTCGCTTAAGCAAAAGACGAACAGAAAACAAATCTCTACTTAACTGTTACCTTTCACAAACTAAATTTACTGATAAAAACATGAGACCTGAAATAAATGGAAGATTTTATCAGATCAAAGAATTGAGTTAAACTTTCATTAATAAGGGTATATTCCAAAAACCAAACCCATTGCTGCCAAGTCAATTCCGACTCATAGTGACCTTGAAGAACAGAGTAGAACTATCCCATAGGGTTCCCAAGTCTGTAAATCCTTATGGAAACAGACTGCCACATCTCTCTCCTGTGGAGCAGCTGGTGGGTTTGAACCACCAACCTTTTGGTTATTAGCAGCCGAACGCTTAACCACTATACCACCTGGGCATCTTAAGGGCATTTAGACTAACCATTTTTCCTTTAAAAAAAACATACACACACACACAACTAAATAGGATTTATTGATCTGGAGTGGCTGCCTCTAACACAGACTTTATAAAGTCATGAAATTTTGTTTATTTATACTACATGTACTAAGAACTGTAACAAGGGTTTCACCTCTTACTCACCTTATCGCTGAGGCTCCTCTTTTCTCTTCGATCACTTTCATCAACCTCCATATTTTCAATTCCTGAATCCACATCCACCTGGGACATGCTTTATGTATAAAGGACAAGTAAGTATTTTATGTTTTATAAACCACATAATCTCACAGCTGCTGATTGAGAAAAAGTTTTAAGATATCAGTCAGGAAGGCAAAATAATACAAGTTAAACTTTTTTCTTAGTAATTTTTAAGAGCTCTTTATATATTAAGGATATAAACATTTGTCTAGCATACAGGTTGCAAGTATTTTTCTCAAGCTGTCATTTGCTTAGGCTCACTTTTTTTTTTTTAAATCACTATAAATTTTCTATACACATTGTTTTAAAATTATATAAAACTCAACCAGAATCAGAGTTCAAAAACTAGTTTAAGCACATACCTAATTTTTCCCTACATTAAACTGCACCATTACTGAAAAGACTATCTTTTTATACTAATATGAAATCATCTGTGTCTTATGTCAATTTTCATATATGTATGGATCTATTTCTGGGTGCTACTTCTGTTTCAGTAGACAAGCTTTCTTTCTCTGAGCCAATACCACACTGTCTTATATTTACTAAAACTTCACAATAAGTCTTGATATCTGCTAGGTCATTATTTCCACATTGTTATTTTATTTCAAGAGTATCTTGGCTATCTCTGGCCCTTAAGAATCAAATTCCTTAAAAATCCTGTTGGGATTTTTATTAGAATTTCACTGACTCTAGAGATCAAATTGGGGAGACATGACATCATAATGTTATTGAGTCTATCCAAGGACATGGTATATCTCTCTAAGTATATAGGCTTTCTATAAGGTCGTCCATTAAATTTCTATATTTTTTTCCATAAGTCTCGTACTCTTTTGATATATGTATTCTTGTTCTTGTTGTGTGCCATTAAGGTGATTCTAACTCACAGCAACCTTATAGGACAGAGCAGAACTGTCCCATAGGGCTTCCCAGGCTGTAATCTTTATCGAAGCAGATTGCCAGGTCTTTTCTCCTGAGGACCCACTGGTGGATTTGAACCACTGACCTCTTGGTTAGCAGCCGAGCGTTTAACCATTCCATCTCCGCTGCTCCCTCAATGTATTCCTAGGTACTATTTATTTTTCAAAGAAATGTGACTGGTACTTTACTAAATATTTTGTTTCCTAATTATTTGTTGCTGGTACATAGAAATGTAACTGATTTTGGATATAGGTCTCTTATAAACAATTTGCATATGAGTATACCCTGTTATGGAGATAATAACTTCATCCACAAAGAATAACTGTTTTGTTTCTTCCATTCTAATCCTTATTTCATGTTTCACTATGCTGGATAGAACCCCATGTTGAATAGAAGCAGATATAGCAGTCACCCTTGTTCATATTCCTGATTTTAAACAGTGTTTCTAACTTTCACCACTCAATATAAACATTGCCAAGGTTTTTTGGTAGATGGCCTTTAGAGTAGTCAGAATAATACAAGCTACCACTCCTCAGAAGGAAGGTTGGGCAATCCTACTTCCGTAGTGATATTGCCTCGGAAACCCAAGGAGGGGTCGCTATGAGTCGGGTTAGACTCGACGGCACATAACAACAACAACAACAACATACTGTGGTAACAGATACACTTTGACACCTTAGAGGCTTAATACTGTAAGGGTTCATTTCTCGCTGGCACAAAGTCTGATGAGAATGAAGTATCCTTACTCTATCTTTAATCTATGTTATCAAAAGAAAAGAGGGATGAAAGAAGAGCATAGGCTCAATTACCTTTGCCCAAAAGGGGCACATGCCACTTCCACTCACAGGATACTAGCCAGAACTAGTCACTTGGCCCCAATATAACTGCAAAGGAGACTGGGAAATGAAGTGTATCATATAGATCATTTGGTGAACTCTGTCTCTGCCACTGTCAGTTTAAGAATGTTCCTGTCTGTTCTTCATTTGCTAAGATTTTTATCATGAGTTGATTTTAATTTTATCAAGCTTTGACACTACCAAGAGATTTTAAGGCTTTTCTCTTTAATATAAAAGGTGGTGAATGATGTTCACAGAGGTTTCTAGTATTACATTACCCTTGCATTCCTGAAATAAGTTTAAATTGATCATGCAACGTTATATTATTTTTAAGTAAAATTTTAATTGCAAAGTACATATAGAAATTTGCAGATTATACGATTGGCTGAACAAGTGTTCACAAAGTAAACACACAAATAATAGAACAAGAAATAGAACATTACCAGCAGCCCAAACAACTCCCTTCTGACCCTCCCAATTACTACTCCACCATCCCAAGATTATTACTATTCTGGCATTTAACCCTGTATTACTTTTGCTTTTTTTTTTTTTAAATGTGTTGTAGTGTTTGTCAATATCTTCATTAAGATTTTTGCAAATATGCTCATAAGGATTACTATATAATTTTCTTTTATATTATTTTTGTCTGTTTTTTCATATTAAGGCCACAACCTCATAAATTAAGTCCCCCTTTACTAAATTCTCCAGAAAAAACAAAACAAAAAAGCTGTGTATTAGCCTGTAAAACCATCTGAGCTGAATGTTTTCTTTGGAAAAATTTTTAAATACTGATTTAATTTATTTTATAGTTTTGCTTCTTTGGGTTTTCTTTTCTTGAATCAGTTTGGGACAATTATGTTTTTCTAAGAATTTGAACTTTTCATTCAAAATTTCAAATTTATTCATATAGTATTTTTCATGGTATTCTCTTTTTCAGTAAGAAGATGGTGCTCATTCTGTATAGGCATTGTTATAAGTGTTGATATATACAATGAACAAGAGACCCCTCCCTTAAAAAAAAGCTCCTGCCTTCATAGAGCTTACATTCTAGTTAGAAGATAAAAATGATAAACGACTAACACAATAAACAAGCAAAGTATGTTGTATGTTAAATGATAAACATTACGGAAAAATTAAAGAAAAAGAGCAGGGAAAAGGCAACTGGGAGTGCAGAGGGTTTTCCACTTTAAAAGGGGTGGGCCTCACGAAGAAAGGACAAATGAGCAAAAATACGAAGAAGGTTACGATGGAGTTATCTAGAGGATGAGCAATACAGTAAAAGGGTCTTTATTCCCAAAATTTGTTACTTTTTTCTTTTTCCTTGATGAATCTTGGAAAAGTTTATTAATTTTATAATTTTTTCCAAAGAACTAATTTTTGGCTTTGTTGATAATCTCTAGTATATATTTGCTGCTCACCATTTCATTAATTTCCTCTCTACCTTAACTGTTTTCCTCCTTTTCTTTTATAGGGTATATATGATTGTTGTTCTAACTTTTCAGTTTATAAGCTTAGCTCATAAATTTTTAGCTTTTATTCTTTTTTAAAATATATTTAAAGCTTTGTATTTTATTCAAAACACAAATTTTGATACGTAGGATTTGTTAATGTTCAGTTCTAGAGGCTTTCAAATTTCCATTATGACTTCTTTATATATGGATATTTGGAAGTATGTTTTTAAAACAAAATATGAGAGTTTCTTAAATTCTTTTTTCTGTATTGATTTTATAAACTAATTGCACTAGTAAAAAAACATGATCTGTATGATTCTGACTCTTGCAACTTTTTGGGCCCATGAGTATTAGTAAAGAATGTATATTCTCTAAGTACAGGGTACAAAGTTCTGCATCTTTCAACTTGATTATTTATTAGTCGTATTAGTCTATATGCTTACTGTTGTTTGTCCTCCCTGACCAATTAATAGCTAAAAAAGATGTGTTAAAATCTGCCATGATGATTATGTAGGTGTCAATTTCTTCTTAGAGTTCTACCAATATTTCCTTTATTATGTTTTGTTGTTATATTATACACATTTAAAACTGCTGTATTCTACTGAGAGTCTAAAGTAAATGTTTATTGTTACATAGTGACTATTTCTAGTAAAGTTTTATGCCTTACAGTCTAATTTATTAATATGCTTATCCTGATTTTCCTTTAATATTTGCCCAGTATATCTTTTCCCATTCTTTTACTTTCAACCTTTTCTGCCCTCTGGTGATGCAGTGGTTAAAGCATTGGGCTGCTAACCAAAAGGGTGGCTTTTCAAACCTCTGTGGGAGAAAGGTGAGCAATCTGCTTCTGTAAAGATTTACAGCCTTGAAAACCCTATGGGGCAGTTCTACTCTGTCCTACAAGGTTGCTATGAGTCAAAACTGACTCAATGGCAGGGGGTTTATTTTTGGGTTTTCTGCCCTAATATTTTACGTATGTCTCCTGTGAACAGTAAGGAGCTCTGGTGGTGTAGTGCCTAAGGCATTTGACTGCTAACCAGAAGGTTGGTGGTTCAAACCCACCAGCCACTCCGCAGAAGGGAGACTGGGCAATTTGCTTCTGTAAAGATTTACTGCCTCAGAAACCCAAAGGGGGTTGCTATGAGTTGGAAATGACTTGATGACAGTGAGTTTGGTTTTTTGGTTTTCTGTAAACAGTATAAAGCTGGGTTTGGTCTTGTTTTTAATCTAATCTCCCTTTTTTAATCCAACTTTTGCCTTTTAACTGGAACATTCAGTCTTTTACATTTATTGTAATTAGTGGTATTTTTTAATTTCTTCTTACCATCTTGTTTTGTGCCATTTGTCCCATTTTATATTTATGTTTCTTTTTCTTTGAATTGACCTAAGTTTTCCTCCCTATTCCACACTTTTCCTCTATTGGTTTGGAAGACTTAACATACTGTTTCTGTTCTTTCAGTGGCTACCCTTGAAAATTTAACAAGAATTCTTAACTCAAAATCTACTCCCAAGCATTACAAGGACCTTAGCACGTTTCCTCTAATAACATCCCCCCACCACCACCACCACCACTCCTGGCTTACCTACTATTATTGTCCAGGATTTTAGGTCTGTCTGATTTTCATTCCTCTTCTCCATCTGAAACTGTTATTATTGCTTTATATCATCAGTGCTTATTTAGAACTACCATATTTATTATTTTCTTACTCATCTTTCCTCCTTGACTCTCAAACATTAATTCTGAGATCTTTTTCTTTTCTCTTAAACTACAGCGGTTAAAAGGTAGGACATTCTCCCAGCAGGTGATCAGGTTTGCTCTCTTCCCCCCTCCATATATAAATGTCTTTATTTCACCTTTGCCCTTAAAATATATTTCCACACAACATACAATTTACAGTTGACAGTTACTTATTTTCATTATACAAAGCTATTATTCCAGCATAAACAGGTTTCTAAGATAGATACATGTAACTGCAGTTCTTCTGTTCTCTCTGGCTACTTTAAAGATCTTTATCTCTGCTGTTCTGAAATTACATTATGAAATATCTAGGTACAAATTTCTCTTTGTTTATCCTGCTTGGGATTTGCTAGGCTTCTTGAACCTCAGGATTCATATATTTCATAACCTTTAGAAAAAATATTAGTCATTTATCTTTTTTGATGATGCCTTCCAAACCAGTAAAGAAAATAAAAATATGGAATAAAGGGGGAAAAAATATCTCCAGGTCTATTAATTTAGTATTCTTATTAGACATGCATTTGACATCTGTCCTTTATTATCTGTAAACATATTTCATATTTTTTAATCTCTTATTTTCCTTTGTGGTGCATTCTGGGTAATTTCTCCACATCTGTCTTCCAGTTTACTAATTCTCTATTCAGCTATGTCTAATCCACTATTTTACATCAATTTATTAACTTCAATTATTATCTTTTTTATTTACACAAATTCTATTTGTTCTTTTTCAAATGTGCTCGGTTGGTTTTATAATTGCTTGCTCCTTATTCATGCTTTCAATTCCCTTTTCTATTTAAACATTTTTGTGTCTTATATTCTGTATCTATAATTCTCAAACTCAGAAATCTTTGGGAGAATAAGTCTGTTGTTACCGATTCTGCTGACTCTTGCTCGTGGTGGTTTGTTTACTAGTGTGTTCTGTGCTTTTTGACAGTGAGTTCTTGGAATATTTCTATGGAAATTCTCTGAAGACTTAGAAGATCTGTGATTGTTTCTCTAGGTGCCTAAGGCACTGCAGATTTGGGTCCACTGTATATCACAAATCTTAGCTTAAGGCTTTCAGATGACACCAATAATATAGACTGAAGTCCTAAACTCACAGGACACTCAGCTAGTAGTCATGAAATATTAAGGGCTTACTTGACTTTTTAAAAATACTCCCACTTCTGAGAAGTGGCAATGAGAATACTATAATTCTTATTCAATGGTGTAAGTTTTTTTTTCCAACTTTATCTTGTCCCTGAGAGTAGTCCTTCCTGAATACTCATCTTATGTGGAATGATTTCTGATCTCACTCCTTACAGTGCCTAAGGCACTTGACTGCTAGCCAGAAGGCTGGTGGTTCAAACCCACCAACCACTCCTGGGAAGGAAGGTTGGGGAATCTACTTCCGTAGTGATACCGCCTTGGAAACCCAAGGAGGGGTCACTATGAGTTGGATCTGACTCAATGGCAGAGAAATAATCAAATGCTAAACCTCTACACCAGTGTTTTCCATGGTTTTTCACATGATGACGCACTAATAAAATAGTATTTGCTTGGCATACTGACGTAAACAGAAGGGGCTACTTGAAGGAAGAAGAAATAAGTCCTAGGGCTCTGACTTCATAAAGGTAGAAAGAATCAATATTGCAGGCACTTAATCATCCATTTATGGCACATTTGCACCAGAGGGAGAAACTGCTCTAGGTTACCGTGGTCTTTATGTAGCTCCTAGATATTTGGCTTATCTGATGAAACCTTCCAAACTTTTAAATTTACTTATCAGTAAAACTATGAAAAACTTTTAGAGATTGACACACAGTTGTCAAATCTGTATTTACAAAATGTTGTTGTTATTCTGTGCCCCAGAGTCAACCCACTCATAGCAACCCCTTCTTGGGTTTCCTAGGCAGTATCACTACAGAAGTAGATTTCCCCATCTTCCTTCCAAGGAGCGGCTGGTGGGTTTGAACCGCCAGCCTTCTGGATAGCAGTCAAGTGCCTTAGGCACAACACTACCAGAGCTCCTATTTACCAAATAGGAACAAACATTTTTTATCACCTACCTACATTATTACATAAAAGACATTTTTAACATAAAAAAAAGAAAGCATAAAGAACATATCAAAATAATATAAAGATTTTCACATTTCATAAATTTAGTTCTACTTTGTTAAAGACTCGCATGGGTCTCTGAGCTGGCACAGTACCTGAAGTAGGGACTAAAGTGAATGGATCTTTTCCTTTCAATACATAAAAAAGGTTATTGGAAAATTGGCTTCATTTTACCTTTTCTCACAAGAGACCCCATCAATATCCATGCTCTGGGAACGTGACAGAGACTGCGATTGTGTTTCAAGGCTATTAGAGGGTGAGCTGCTGAGAGAACTGACTCCTTCACTGCTCTGGCTTCGATGGGCTACTCCTAAATAGAAAGGACATGAAAGATGAAGTCCCATCTGAAAGAATGCTAAGGTTATTCGTAATGGCAGTAGTAGACATCCCTAATATGCATTCATCATCATGAAATCCAGTAACTTCTATCAGAAAATTACTTTAAATGCTGACACAGTATTAAAATCATAGTAACATTAGTAAGAAAACCCAATTTATCAGAATACTTTCAATGTGGGCAGTGACAAAGGTAGATCTGATATCAAAACTGACTCCTCATTCCCTTCTCTTTTATCAGCTGAAACTGCAGTCCCTGGATACAAATTAGTTTTCATGGCACTCCAGAAAAATCACTGAAGTGCATACACCAAAAATAAGATAGATTAATGGACAGATAGATGGACAGATGTAAGATAAAGCAAGTAGAGTAAAATGTTATTGTAGAATCTAAAAGGTATGAGTATTCACTGCAAAATTCTTTCAACTTTGCTGAATGAGATTTTTTTAATAAAATGTTGAAAAATACAAATAGATTCAACTAGCCAATGTTCTTCAATATAGATCAATCCATTTATTGCTTATCTCCTCTGTGACAGTCAAAGCTTAAGGAAAATAAAAAAAACCTAACACCTCCTTTGCCGTCAGAAAGCTCACAGCCTAGTGTCATCCTTAGTATAGGAACAAATAATTTTTCATAATAATTTCTTCATTAATATCTATACAATCAAAGGTTTTAATTTCAAAATTATTATAATTCTATGAATATATTTCTATCGAAAAAGAAAAAAAAACTTTTTACCCAGACATTTGCAAATACTTTTAAATATACTATATCTGTGTTACAGATGGGAAAATGAGATTCACATGGTTTTAAAACCAAAGAAACAAAGCTGAGTAAAAGTTAAAGCTGAAGCAACTACCAGGTGGACACACATTTTGACCCTCTGAGCATCCCAAGAAAGTAAATTTGCTACCCTTTAATGTCTCTCTTTATTGAAAAAAAACACAAACATTTATCCATTCCTGCTAACAGGTTTTAACATGTACCAGTTTACTAAAACTTCTGCAGGACTTATGAAGGAAAGGGTAACTAAATTTTCCTTATTGCTAAACAGACTCAAGTAAATCATACAAAGTATCAGAGGTAGTGCCAGTTCTGAAGTAAGCTTTTAGAACACAGAAACATTTGAAATTCATTAATTCAAGAAGTATAACCCAAAGGAAGTTTTCAGTGAGTATTTATTAATGAAATAAATAATAGAGCATTCTTTACCTAAAACAATGGAGCTCTAGTGGTGTAGTGCCTAAGGTATTTGACTGCTAACCAGAAGGCTGGCAGTTCAAACTCATCAGCCACTCCTCAGAAGGAAGACTGGGCAATCTACTTCCATAAAGATAATACCTCGGAAACCCAAGGAGGGATTGCTATGAGTTGGAACTGACTCAACAGCAGTGAGTCTGGTGTTTTCATTTTTTTAACACAATGAAAGGTCTGACATTTAAAAAAATTAATAAAAGTAAAGTTGAACAATTTTTATGAGATATCAATTAAGCAGATTTTTAAATTTAAAAGCAGACTTTCTGCCCTAGAAAATCAGTTCCAACATTATATTGACAATTTATAACAAAGAATACTATGGCACACTATACAGTGTTGTTTGGAGCTGTCAAGTCAGTTCTGACTCATAGCAACACTATGTACAAAACACTGAAACAGAAAGGAACACTGCCTAGTCTTGTACCATCCTCACAACGATTTCTATGTTTGAGCCCATTGTTGCAGACACTGTGTCAATCTATCTTGCTGAGACTCTTCCTCTTTTTCATTGACCTTGTACTTTATCAACCTTGATATCCTTTTCCAGGGAAAGGTCCCTTCTGAAAACATGACCAAAGTAGGTGAGATGCTGTCTGGCCATTCTCACTTCTAAGAAGCATTCTAGCTGTACTTTTTCCAAGACAAATTTGTCTGTTCTTCTGACAGTCCATGGTATACTTATATTCTTCACCAGTACCATAATTCAAAGGCATCAATTCTTCTTCAGTCTTTCTTATTCACTATCCAACTTTCACATGTATATGAGGCGACAGAAAATACCACGGCTTGGGTGAGGTTGACTTTAATCCTCAAGGTAACATCTTTGCTCTTTAATATTTTAAAGAGGTCTTTTATAGCCGATTTACCTAATGCAATATGTCATTTGATTTCTTCACTGCTGTTTCCATGGATATTGATTGTGGATCCAGGTAAAATGAAACCCTTAACAATTTCAGTATTTTATCTGTTCACCATGATGTTGCTTACTGGTCCAACTGTGAGGATTTTTATTTTCTTTATCTTGAAGAGTAATCCATATTGATGGCTGTGGTCTTTGATCTTCATCAGTAAGTGCTTCAAGTCCTCTTCACTTTCAATAAGCAAGATTGTGTCATCTGTGTATCACAAATTGTTAATGACTCTTCCTCCAATCCTGGTGCTGCGTTTTCTTCATATAGCCCAGCTGCTCAGATTATTTGCTCAGCATATAGATTAAACAAGAAGAGTGAAAGGATATGATTCTGACACACACTTTCTCTGATTTTAAACCATGCAGTACCCCCTTGTTCTGTTCAAAGGACTATTTCTTGGTCTTTGGACAGGTTCCACATGAGCACAATTAAGTGTTCTAGAATTCCCATTCTTCCCAAAGTTATCCATAATCTGCTATGACCTACATACTCTAATGCTTATGCAGAGTCAATAAAACACAGGTAAACATCTTTCTGGTATTCTCTGCTTTCAGTTAAAACTCATCTGATAAGCAATGATATCCCTTATTCCATGGCCTCTTCTGAAT